AAGACCGGGGGGAGCAGACACTGCTCAGCACCCGAGGAAAACCCAGGGACCACGGTGGGCAGAGCAGGGCCACGTGCTGGACCCCAGCTCTTCTGATCACACCGGCCCCTCCGAGCGAGGGTGGGCACCCACACTTACTGGCAGACTGCTTGAAGCCCTTGGCGGAGTGGACGATGACGTGCAGGAACCCGTAGAGCCCGGGGGACTCGTCGTCTGCAGTGGGGAGAGCAGAGGCTGTGTCAGTGCTCAGCTGCCACCTCCCCAGCCCCGGGGCCCAGCCGCCGTGCCCAAGGCAGCCTTTGCCATCGCGAGTGCTAGGTGCCTGCGGTGACACCCCGATGTCCCCAGCCCCCCTGGAGGGCTGTCCCTAAGGTCTGGCAGAGGACACGTATCCCCCACTGCCGATCATCCCTGCCAGATATCCCGAGCTCTCCTGCTTGCTGGACAGTCCTGGGTGAGGTTCCAGTAGGGCTGGCTGGGTCTCGCCCTGGGGACCCCCTGGTCCTGCCCAGCCCATGGGGATACTGGAGAGACCCCAAAAGCAGCCCCATGTTGCAGCCGGGATCGCTCCGGCCGGGAGTCCGGCTCTGCTCCGGCAGTGCCACCTGGTGGGTAGCTGTCCCCCTGCACAGCCAGGGTCCCCGAGCAGGGACCCCGCTCCGGCCGAGGGACCCCGCAGCTCCTCCCCGGCATCATCCGGAGGCAAGGACGGACCCGCCAGCCCAGCCGACACTCACCGTCCTTATTGCTCGTGACTGGGATGTTGTGAACGGTGCGTAGCTTGAAGCAGGATCCCGTGAGCACCTGCAGCTCCACCGAGCTCAGGACGAAGGCCTGGAGGTCTGGGAGAGGACGGGAGAGGAGCTTCAGAGGGACACAGCCAGTGCTGGCCCAGAGACCGAGCAGGCTGCGATCCTGCAGGACCTTCTCATGGTATCTGGGGGGGTCAGGAGCCACCAAGAATGCCTCGGCAGCCCCAGACTTACCCTTTTTCTGCAGTTTCTGAATGGCCTCCCTCCACTCTGACCTCTCGTAGTCGGATGACAGCAGGAAGAGGTAGCTCTGTAAGAGAGAGGGTGATGCAGCAGGCTGTGCGCAGGCAGCGTTGAGCCCGGCCCCCAGCCCACCTCCTCACCTTCCCGTTGCGGTTGTGGATGCGGAAGGGGATGGCGGGTGAGTTGAGGAGCAGCCAGAATTCGTTCTCAAACATCTTCTTCTTGAGGCGCTCAATGGCCCGGCTCTGCCCCTTGTTGGCTTTCTGCAGGCGAGGAGCAGAAGGGAGCTTTTGCAGGCAGCCCTGGCCCCCCATGTCCCATCCCTGAACCAGAGGAAGGCGCCCACCCCAGCAGCAGGTCCCGCACCCTCCCCAACCACCTGCACCCTCCTCTCACCTCCTTCTGCACCTCACTCTTGATGGCTGAGATCTTCATCTTCATGTCCTCCAGCTCGTGGTCGGGGATGACGTGGACCTGCGGGCAGTGCTCCGACTCCTCCGGCGAGGGGAACACCAGGTCGGCCAGGGGCACGTACCACTTGCAGTCGTATTGCTGGTGCTTCCTGCGGCCGGGGCACAGGCACCGAGTGATGCCTGACCCCCTCCCCAGCACATCCCCCTGCCCGACGGAGGACGGGGGGGTTGTGACACATTCCCCCCATGCCCAGCACCCTCCTTACCCCACCGCCGTCTTCTTCAGCTTGGCGCAGAGCAGCACGTCGGTGAAAAGGAAGACGTGCCGCAGCTTCCGCGAGCCCTCCGACAGCTCCACCAAGAAGCCATCCTTGACAAGCTGCCGGGTCTGTGGGGCAGCAGGGCGGGCGTGAGAGTGGGCAGGCAGCAAAGGCCAACAAACCGCCGGGGACGGATGCTCCTGTCCCTCTCCATGGCTAAATCAACCGGGGCATGGGAAGGTGCATAGCCTCTGGGTGCTGTTTTGGGTCCCATACTCTCAGTAGGGTGCCAGCAAGCAGCAAGGGCCAGGTAGAGCACCCAGGACTGTGTCTAGAGGCAACCCTCCATCTCCTGGCCAAGCACCATGGAGCTCCTCAGGGTGGAGACACCAGCCAGGGGCTGGCAGAGGGCTCAGCCCTCACCCCGTGCCCAGGCACTGCCCTCCCCACTGCCTCACCTCCCCCTTGGGGGTGGTGACCGCTGTCCTCCGGGGATCGATGTCCTCATTGATGCTGGAGAGGAAGTTCTGCGAGATGCGGAGGGCGTCCTGGAGCAGCGGGTAGTCGGGATGGTCGGCTGGGGTGTGCTTGAGGAGGTCCTGGAAGGGGACAGGCGTGGGTGAGCGGCACAAGGGCACTGCCCTGCCTGCAGCACCCACCCCAGGGACCCCCCACAGCATTTCTCCCCACGGCTGCGGGTCCCCAGGAGCAATGGAAGCAGAGCCCCCACTGTCCCCTGCCACGGGACTGGTGCCACACTCACGTGCAGGACGAGGGTGCTCCGTGTCACACGGTCGATCGGTTTGTACAGCAGCGCTGTGGGGAGAGAGAAGGCATCAGCAGCCACCCACCGCTGGGGCTTGGCCCCCTCTCCCACCCACCAGAGCCAGCACCGCACCCCACAGGGGCAAGAAGGGGAGACCAGACGCCCAGAGACCCCCTCAGGTCTGCACAGAGCCCTTGGGGAGTGTCTGGGGTCCATCACGGACAGAGCCAGAGACAGCTGGGCCATCACGTCACCGTGACGAGCAGCGGTGAGCCACGGCTCGATGCCACAGCCCCGTGCCCTGCCACGCCGGCAGCAGGAGAGACCACGGCCGGGTTGGTGTGCGGAGCAAGGGCAGAGCCCAGCGCTGGCAACTGCCCGACACGCACCTCCATTTTGAGGTGGCACCCGAGGGGTTTCGCCAGCAGCGTGGGCACCTGCGAGGTCCCCGCCGGGGTGACAAGCCCTGACCACTGCTGCGTGGTGACCCCACACGCCGCTTTGCTCCAGCCATGGCCCCGTGCCGGCAAGGTCTGTCCTTGCCCTAAAACGGGTCACGACGGGGACACTGACCCAGCCACCACGTCCTCCTCCCCTCTGCTGCCACAGGTCACGGGGTGGGCGGGTCCTGTCCCTGCCCTGCCTTCACAGGGCTCTGCCGCCCCGTGGGACATCCCGTATTCCCCCACCCCAGGCAGCCCTGGGTGCCAGGGGAACCCAGCCTGCCCCACCAGCAGAGAGACTCCCAGGGGCTGAGGCATCGTCCCAACACCGCTGCCCCATGTCCCCTCCCTGCAGCCCCCCGTGACTGCACGTACAACTCCGTCCGGGGCACGGGGGCAGAGAAGCCCCCCCCACGGGGCAGACACCCCGCTTTCTCCTGCCCAGCACCCTCCCT